AAAGTATCATCTTTATAGTCAGCAAAAAATATACATATGGTCCAAAAACTCGAATCCATTTGCCTTTGAATTCGAGAAGGCACATTTTTTAATCCAAATGGCATGACCAGCCATTCGATTAGTCCTAGGGCTGAGCAAATTGTTTTATCAATGTCATCTTCAAAAAATTTAACTTGATGATATCTTGATTTAAAGTCAAGTTTCAAAAATATTCTTTTCTCAACTATTCTTTGAATTAAATCCTCTTCATTAGGCAAGGATCATTTAATATCGACAATCACAATATCATTTATTCAAAAAGTGGTCCGCCCAACGCCTAGACAGGATGGGAGGCCTGGGGGCACCGCCTAGACCTAAGCGGACCAACTAGGCGGGCTGTCCCTAGGTGGGCACCTTGGGGACTACGCCCGATTAGGTAAAAAAATACCCATCAGGTGGGGTTTTTTTGGTGTATTTTTTCTTTATTATAAAAAATGTATGAATATGCATAGTTTATACAAAATATGTACCTAAAACAGGGTTACTGGACACCATTTGCCCCCTTTTGAACTTAGGCCGCCCAAGTTCTAAGCGGCTTCCTAGGCACTGTGCTGCCTAGACCTCCCCGCCGCCTAGGTGCCGGCCGGCATGTTTTGGAACACGGCACATTATTAAGATTAATATAATTTATCATCATCCTAGTTTTCACTCTTTTCTTTCCATAATGATTCATGACTACAAAGGATGCATAAGAATTGTTTGACAGGCCTCAACAACCCTTTTCCTACAAGTTCTTTTATTTGGGTTTTCGTTTCCATCTCATCTTCTTTATTATGCCTTATTGGCTTGCTCTTAACTATTATGCTATGAATTGCGAGAATACAGACAACTGGGGAATCTCTATCCCATTTTATTAGAGGCGTTATACACAGTATTTTTAGTTCTTCATATATTTTTTTTATTGCAATAAACTAAGAACCCATCTCTTATAACATGCCCGTAACTTGTTTTATTATTTCATATTTTCTTGCTCTTTTTCCATCCTCAAATAATTGTTCAACAATATTTTAAATAGAAGGACTTCATTGGATATTGTTTTTCTTAATTTAATTGATTCTCTCCTTGAATTTTAAATACCAAAATACTATCACAAACTATATATGGAAATATTTCGTCCATTGTTATAGTTCCTAGTCCTATTTGATATCCTCTATCGTCAATTCTAACAAAATTTGCTAATATGTTCTTTATAAAACATCTAGGATAGATTTTGTTAGTTTTCTCCTACCATTCATAGCTTTCACAAATTCTCTTCAAGGATGTCTAACCCAATTATCCCATAATTATATGGGCCAGAAGTTTATGTTAGCACCAATATCTAATAAAAGTTCAACCTTTTTCCAATTTTCTTTCACATTTGTAGCAACTTTAGTAGGCACAAATCAAGAATTTTTTGCTTGGATTATTTTCATTATTTGATAAGCCTGATCTGAGTTATTTTTTATCAGATTTATCAACTAGTTTCCAAAAGTTACCTTTGCCATCGCTCTCAAAACTTTAGTTTGCTTTAGTGACTTTAATCTCTTCATCTGAAAATATCAGCATTTCATCCTCAGGGCCAGATAGAGAAGAGGAAGAGCTTATACCTTCAACTATATAATAACAACATGAAGTGTCACAATGTTCTACCTTTTCTTCCTTTCCTCTTCTCATACTTCATCGGCCCAAGACGCCATTTTAACTTGCCACACAATTTCTTCCTCGGCCACAACAGCATCTAGCTTTGGTGGGTCAAATTTTTTTTACCATATCAGTAACAGTTTCTTTTTGCTTTTTTAGCATCCTCAAGCTTGGGTAGACCAAACTTACTGACATTTTTCTCTGGGGTCAGCCACTAGTAGTTTCGTACACCATAGCTTCTTATTTTCTAAAATTTCAAATAATATGCGACAAGCATATCCACGTTGAATAGCTAGAAATAATTTAGATATGGTAAAGAAATTTAGAGGTATTAGCAAAAAGTAGGGGTGAGAATTGACCCGATCCGGATCCGAAACCCGGATTTCAAACCCTACCCAAAATTTGGATCCAGGTCCAAAAAATAGATCCGAATTGAAATCCGGATTGGATCCAAGTGCAAGTGGATCCGACTTGGATCTAGATCGGATCCAACCCAATTTTTTTAAGTAGTAAATTTTTATTTTATATATAATTTTTTTAAAATAGTATATATATAATCTGGATACGGATCTGAATATCCAAGATCTGATTTGAACCCAGATCCAACCCAGATCCGATGCATATTATTCAGATCCGGATCCAGATCTGGTCGGATCCCACCCTAATCCGACCCTTCTCACCCCTAGCAAAAAGCGCTCGCCAAAATTTATTAATGCTAGCTAAATTTGCTATAAATGGGAAAGAAATAGGAACCCGGAGCTAATATAAACTTCTGAATATGGGATAATTAGGGTAGGCATTCTCAAGTTGTAGAAACTACGAATGGAAGGAGAAAACTAACATAGATCTTCCCTAAAAAGAAGAAAAAAAATGCGTACTAGCAAATTTGGTTAGAATTGATGATAGAGGACTCCAAGCAGGAATTGGAACAGTAACAATGGACAACAAAGTCCATATCCTGTTTATGAGAATATTTTGGTTTTTATAATTGAGTCAGAAACAAACAATACCAAGAATATCCTCGTCATTTAAATTAAGGTCAAAAAATATGCAAGAAAATCCCTCCCTTACAAATATTATCAAAACTCATTCAAGGACAGAAAAAGAGCAAGCAAAATATGACATCATAAAATAAGTTAAGGGCATGTAGTTAAAGATGGATTCATAGTTGACTACAATACAAGAAGTCACAGAAACCTAAAAAGTTGTTGTGTTCTAGAAAAATGGGATAGCAAATCCCCAACAGCCCACATTCTCAGTATTCGTAATATTCCAGTTTACTACAAGACAATAGGGCATAATTAAAAAAAAAGATGGAAATGGAAACGCAAAGAAAGAAAAGTAAAAAAAACAAAAACAAAAACAAAAAATAAGAAATGGTAGAAACAGTGGTGATCAATGAAAGGTGGACAATATAATCTAGCTAAGTATATACAATTAAAAATTTGTAATTGTCCAAAAATACAACATTAATTTACAGAAATAGACCCTAATAATCTAAGATCTTCACTTGCATGCCATTTCAATTCTTACATTCATATACATGAGATTGAATTAAGAAACATAGAACCATTAGAATACCAAATTACCTTGCCAAGGGTTAACCCCAAGGATTTGATACACCCCACTCCGGGTTTCCTCCATCGATGGCACACAAGATTGAGGTCCTCAACCTAGTCTAACAATCTAGGAAGCCTAGGCAAACCCTAACATCATCAGAGCACAAGCCAAGCTTTTCCATGAGGCCATCCTCTACATCTAATGTTAGAGAGGTATACCATCCCTTCAATATCTCTTGGGTGTTGCCCCCCATGTTTTCTTCCCTCTTTTAATTCAAACTTACAATGAGATGAGAGAGAGTGGCATGTCACTTAGAGAGAGGAGAGAGAGAGAGATCCATAGCTCTATACATAAAGAGCATTTTTAATACAAGGCTACAATTTTGGGGTCTAGGGTTTGCCATCTTAGTACGACTTAATCTTGACTATTGATTTTGGACACCTATGGGGTGAAGAGATCTTAGTAAACGATTCCCTAAACCAACCATCATATTAAAGGGAAGGTACTAGAACTACTATCCCTCAATTTCCTTAACTCATTCCCATAAACTATTTAGTATATGGAAAATAAGATATATGTGTCATAAAATCTCATGTGATGGAACAACTTACCAAAAACAACTCAATCAACCAAAATTCTCTCTCAATCAATATAATTTCTCAAAAAACTTGATTTGCCACCGAGTGACTTGGCCAACAAGTCAATACAACAAAGAGAGAGATAAACACAAGGAGATGGCGCATGTGACCCATTTGTAGCCCATTAAGGCCCCATGCACCTATCAAGGTAGTTCGACATGGTGGGCCCCCATCCCAAATGGGCTACCCCACACTCTCCAATGAATTATAACAATTATAAAAGAATTTTTTAAATCCAATAAATATTTTTAAAATGGTCTTTATTTATAGAAATTAATTTTTAGCACTCTAAAAATTCTTTTTGATAAAATAAAATATACATAATGTTCCATAAATTTAAATAATATATAAAATTTGATGGGAATTGGATCCATAACGTCTAGCACTATACAAATATATCAAGGCACTCCATCTATTTAGAAACTGTGCACTACTGTTAACTTCTCAAATTGACCCAATGAAACTCATGACCCATAACCCATTACAAGGGTTCATGATTAGCCAATCAAAGTTCTTTTTGATGAAAAGTTAACTTAATTGGCCCATCACAGTTAGCCAATAAGTGAAGATAACACGATCTGAGTCCATGGATTACAAGTTCCTCCCTGACTACAAGTCCAAGCCCCATTTCGCACACTATCTCATGTGACCTTCCAATACAATCCAAGAGACATCTGTTCCACAAATGTACACAACATGCCCCAATGGGCTACTCCCCAGACAACTATCTAGTGTACATGCCGTGTGATGGCAATGATGAGGATTTTGGGTCTTGTCTTCTCCGACCAACGTCCGCACGACATGTAGTCCCCTGGCTAACCACCTTAGGCATCTCTCCAACCTCATTAAGGGATGACCCCATAACAGAAGCCTTATCGATTGTTCCTTATGACCAGGGCTATAGGGTTTAGACATCAACCCGAGCCTAACCCGTCAAAGCTTAGTTGAGACACAAAATCAGAAAAGCTTCGTCTAGTCCCTCCGAACCATAACCCTTTGGTCCTTCCGGATCCCACTCCTACTGGAGTTATTACATCACTATAGTCATAGTTTTATGTGCTCTCATAAAGACCTTTAAATGGCCGCATAACCCCAACAATCAAGCCTTCTTAGTCAAACGACTCTTGTGCCTCCTTCCTAGTTAGAAATCACAGCAAAGAAAAAAGAGGAAAAGCTACAACTGTGATAAAAATATATTCCACTTAATAATGTCACTGTTGATATCAAATGGACCCTAACAAAAACGAGTTAATTCAAGAGTAACTGATAAAAGGATATTTTCAAAATATGACTACAAATCGAGGCATCAACAGTTCAAAATTCTTTAAGAAAGCATACATAAAACAACTTTATCAACCCCAAGACTAATTGAATGGCTAGTTATGCCAATTTGATTAAAGAATGCGCATTTTCAATTTCAAGAAGCCAAGGATTCAACTTTTCAGCCATATGTACATTCTATTGCTAAATATTTACTTTTTAATATTTTTCGATAGTGAGAAAGAACACATATAACACTTAAAAACATTTTCACAGGTCGAAAAGTTTCACTATAAATGTTGTTGACATGCTTAGAATATATATTTCCAAAGGAAAATAATAATGCAGTCGCAAATATTTCAACAGACTGAAAAAATCCCTGATGAAGTGGCCAATTTAGGGAGCATGAGTGGCCAATTTAGAAGAGAGAGTTAAATTAAACTATAGGCCGGTGGCGGAAAAAGACATATTGGCAGCAGTGGGAGGACTGGAAAAATTTCTTCACAGTTTGCATGAGGAAAAATTTATCCTAAGAACACACTGTCAATTTAGCTAGTTTAAGGAAAAAGAAGCATATTAGTAGCCCAAAGTTACAAAGACATGCACGGGCGCAATTTTTTCTTTCCTTGTACCAATTTATGATAGAAAAACTTCCAAGAAAAAATCTTGATCTTCCAAAAGCTCAGACCAGAGAAACGAAAATGATGAGGACTATCCAAAAAGTAGAAGAATGGTCAAATTTTCCAATTGATACCCCAAATGCCAAGCAAATATTCTGTCGAAAATAAGGATGGTTCTCCCTATTGGTTGGTATTTAAAAAAATGCGAATTATCCATCATTAGATTTCTTCCTTACATCATCAAACAGAGTTAGTAATCTAAGATGGTTATTTTAAAGACAAAAATAAGAGTCTGCTCAGTTTAGCAAGAAATCCTTGATGATTTAATTTTGTTTAGGAAATCTAACACATTTATATGCAAATAAAATAACCAGGGATTTCCTAAATGAATTATTAGTGTGCTAATTGGGAGGATGATCTATCCAATTATTTCCAAAAAATATAATTTTACTGAACAGAGATTTATTCGCCTATACAAGGACAGAATATTAATTAATCAAGAGCGTCTAGAAGAGCCCACTGCAATAGAACTTATTATCAATTTTCTATCAGCAGTAGAAGTCCTTTGTCTGTGTAAGTCCTTATACCAAAACTACCGAAAACAGATTCATTGCCTTCACTGTGCGACAATATTGCGTTTGTATCTTCCCCAATTTGGTATCAACTTGCTTTGTCTCGCTTTTCCTTGTCTAGCATCAGTTAAAATCTAGGATAGATATGGAGGAAAGCCGTATTTAGAGTTATGTTACAGCAAAATAGAGGTGCTTGGAACAACTTTAGTACAGCCAAAAAATTACTAAACAGAACAACTATGGTTGTACATGCTTGCTTTTATCTTTATGGTTGCACAATATTTCGGACAGCCATCCCAAGGCCCTATTTGTTTTGATATCATATACACATACTACCCAAAAAATATTTCATATATTAAGAAAAAAAATCACAAATCATAGATTGTGAAGGGAAAATACAGTTTTTTACAGGTAAATCAAAGGTAAAAGAAAAGAGAAGATATCCAAGACAAGAACCCAGATGTCAAAGAGAAAAAACTATAAACCTAATCTATCCCAAGAAGGGAAAAGAAAAACAAAGAAAATTACCTGAACCTTGAGGAACTGATTGATATCAGCTTCCTGCCTCTGCAACTCACGACAGAACTCTTTGTCAATAAGAAGAGAGGAGGAGGAAGTGGAATCACCAGAGGAAGCCAACCTCTTGTCATTAAGGGAAAGGCCCAGGCCCACAGATACCGCGCCTACTTGATGGGTCTGCAAAAAATCAATAGAAGAGATCTGGGAATTCTCTATCAAATCCAGCTCCTTGAGCTTCTTCTTTCTCGGCTCCCATAGGTTCCACCCTGGATCTGACTCCTCGCCGCCCCGATTGTGGACTGCAGAAAAAGGGCGAAGATTTTAGTAACATGAGTCCAAACCAGAAACTGAAAAACAAAAATGAGGGAGAGAAAATGATAGATAAATAAAGAAACGTATTGGGAGGAAGGTCCATCCACCAAACCTCGGACTCCAAAAAAGGCTATGGGAGTGGGATTTTGGCCATCGCCCTTTGATAAATTCCTGTAAAATGTTTCAGAGATATGAGAGAGGAGCGGATTATATTCATCTACAAAGAAATGAAAGAATCGAATTGGTAAAGAAAGAAGGACTGTTGTGAAAATTTTATGGAATTCACTCTTGTGGTTTGGACTGTGGATACAGGTGCTGCGGAATTGTCGTCATGGCGGATGGCCGGCAGAGACAGGAGAGAGAGAGAGAATCAACGCTTCCACATTTACTCCCCTGCTTACTCTTCACAAAGAGAGGCAAACAAACCCGCACCAAGACAAGTCGAGGTCCCTTGACCCACTTGTCTGGATATTCTTATGTGTGTGTGGTCGCAGGAAGGAAGAAAGGAGCTCAGGGAGGCAAGCTTGAACCAGTCTCAAACTTGGGGGGCTGTCTTCGTGATCTAAGAGGACACCCACGCGAGCTTACCCAAGCGTATCACAAACCCATGTGAGGTTAATCCCACTCACGACCTTCAATTCCTCTCTCCCTAGTTGGTACCCTGATTGCGTCCTCCTTCATGACGTTCCCGAGAGAGTGGTCTCCGATCTCGGGCTCATTGCGAACCCATGGCCCGGCCTCAAGGTCATCTTGACCGGGGGGTGAGATCGAGGCACCCGACCAGCTTGGCGACTCCACTGGGGATACGCTACCCCAACGTCGGATCGTTCTCGCTTGATTTTCCTTTTATTCTTCCTGCTTTCTGCACACACGCATGATTTCGAGGTTGACTAACCCCTTTATCCGAGTCGGGGATTTCATGATCCCCGTACTTGTGAATCCCCTTGGGGATCAAGCTCCATGAGCTTTGTTCCTGACCTTTTTTTTTAGCATCGACTCGGTGTCCTGCTCTCAGGTTCTTACCCGAATTGAGGCGAGAAGGGATGTGAAGATCCCTTGCTCCCCATTGTCCAGCATTGGCGGACTCTCTGCCGACACTCCTTGCATTGGTGGCGCATTAACAGCTGCACACCACATGCACTCTGCTATCGGCAAATCACTTGCCGGTCCCACTGCTCGGGGCAGCCACAAAGCCACCCCTTTCTCTTATGCAACTGACGGTCCATCAGCCGTCGCTCTCGAAGGTCACCACAAGGTAACCCCTCATTCTCTACCACCTCTAGTCCTCATAACGAGCGGCTCAACACACCGATGAGGAGGTCGAAAAACCTCTACCTCCCACACACGCACCAAGGCTTGTGGTTTGTCCACTCGAGCTACACTCCGGGGCAACCCTCAGGTCGCCTCGGGTCATCATCAGGATTTGGGTCTTGTTGGACCTGGCCCTGAACGTTCTGTTCATATGCATCGCACTGCTCCTGGAGGCTTTGTTGCTGCGCCTCCCCAAGCACACGAGAGACGACCTTCTCGTCGTCCCTCTCAGCATGTGCATGTTCATCCTATGAGAAGGGGTCACGCGACCATTTCCTCACAAACACCTGCTCGCGACACTAAGATTTCCATGCCCAAAACTGCTGCTCGATCCCGAGATGTCCCCCAGGTCACCTGAAGGCTCTCTTCAATGGAAGCACACGCGCCGGTGCCATGATCTACACCGAGCTCCCGGCTGGAAGGCCACTGGTGGCCGGCTCCTCCTCCATTTGCCCCGCTCCTTCCTACGAAACTGTTGCAGACATGGTATTCAAAAATCTTCCCCCAAGAGTACCATCTTGTAGTACCTTCTTCAAGCCCATGCTCCCCCTAGAGTTTGAAGGCAGACTCAAGGCAAGACTCTCTTCACCATTGAAACCTTCCTTCACCCTTTTCTCTCTAGGCTAGGACAGTCTAAAAAGGCCAAATTGACTGTCATTGACGACCCGTATCCCTTGCCCCAGCTCATAGAAGTGGCCCTAACCTACTTGAAGAAGGCTGACCGTTCCCAATCACGATCCAGTTCACTTTTCTGGATGAGAGTACACCAGAACCTGAGGACCAAGCATGAGAATGGCGTACGGATTATGCTAAAGAAGAGGCCTGGAAAGTTCGAGGCAAGAAGTTCTCTCAATCCCCAATGTGGGAACGCTTTTTACCCACTAATGACGGCAACCAAGCCCAAAGAAAAAGGGGTAGAAACTTGTGCAGTCATCACCCATCATTGATGATGACCTAAGCTGGTAGCACCCATGATCCCAAGATCGTCATGAACCGATCCTTATTTGGTTCGCCTTCAGGGCTCATGCTCAGTTGGGACAAAATCCGCCCTTGCTGACCGGTGTCTCATACCCATTTCACTAGATATCCAAGATTCCAACCTCACAAGGGGTCTCTTCCCATGAAGAGAGAGTTAGTGTGATGGTCATCGATCAGCTAGGTGACGAATCTCAAGAGAGGTTGACCCGGCTCGAAGATATGATAAGCCGTATGATGGAAAAGGTCGAACAGATGGAAAAAGCCAAGCCCCTTGTGAATTCATCTCACCATGGGGCTAATTCTCCACAGCTTACCCACCCGCTCGAAGAACCTCCAAGGAAGCCGCACCTCCTAACTCTCATGATCATTCTTCCCCAGGTCAGGTCTTACTGGCCGACATCGATGCTATGGATAACCATAACATGCGAGAGATACAGATTCCCGGGTTGCGAGAGACATCCCTTTACTAAAAGCCCTACCCCTCTTACATTGACTAGCTCCCCTTCCCTACTAATTATCAGAAAGGGAGATTCCCTGTCTTCAACAACACAAGTTCTCCCCATCAACACAATGCTCACTTCACCTCGACATGTCTAGAGACAGCTACTAATGGGAGGCTCCTCCTTTGCCAGTTCGTCGAGACCCTTGACGGGCCGACATTTCAATGGTATGCCCAGCTTCTTTCAAACTCAGTCCAAATCTGGGAAGAGATGGAGTGTTTATTCTACAAGCGCTTCAATGAGATCTAAAGGGAGGTGCAAACCATCGAGCTCCTCACTATGACTCAGGGATTGAAGGAGTCGGTTGATCAATTCATTGCAGGATGGAGAGACCTGGCTGTCTACCAAACCAACTCCATGCCTGAGATCGACGCCGTCCAAACCTGTGTGCATAACATGCGACCGGAGACCTCCCTGCATGCCGAAGCTTCAAATCCCACCTCTATGTCGAATCTAATTTCTAAATCAGTCTGTATAGAGAGCCTCTTTAAGCAACATGGTGGGCTCCAAACACAATCATCAAGTGGTAGAAACAACTGAAATTTCGGTAACTCTCGCCCTAATTTCCGAGGCAACCAGCAAAGAGGGGCAATTATTGTTTCCGTTACCATATTGGATCCTAAGAAATGCCAGTCCCAAACTCTGGATTTCTCCAAAGGGGTGCCCCCCACTAATGCCCAAGGGAGACCTCAGGTGGAGCAACAAAAAGAAAGAAGGAACAAAGTATACAACTTCAATAAGGAGTGGGTCCCCACCTTACTCTGCATGTTGCTGCAACAGGAAATGATCGCCTTGTCCGATATAAGAAAGCCGGAAGAGGCTGAACTTGTCACCTTTAGAAATTATTGTGCTTATCACCGGATGTTGGGGCATTTTAGTCAGGAATGTTTCACCCTTAAAGACCATATAGAGGCTTTAATCCAAAGGGGATAGATTTAGTTGGACACCCTCAAAAAGGCCTTTGGGGCAACTGAGGCATCCCATGTGGTGACAATCCAGGAACGGCGGAAAACAAATTACTCTGATGAATTGCCACCAGATATCCTCCTGGCAATGTTCATTATGATGATCCAAGAGGGGATCATTACGCCCGCGACCATCAAGGCAGTCTAGCCATGCTGCCCAAGGGACTGAGCAACTCTCAGGTACATGGTCATGATTTGACTGAATGCTTCGTATTTCGGGCCTTAGTACAAGAGAAAGTCCAAAGGGGACTCTTCACGATTGAAACCTCGGTAACTATTTCTGAAAACAACGCTCAAGAAGCCACCCAGGCACGAGCCCCTCGTAGTGAATCGCCGCCTGACGTTTTCTAATTGGGCGATCATGGCAGATCTATCGAGGGCAAAATCAAATGAGATCCATGAGAAGAGAGGCAATTCGCCAGGCACGACCGACACCTAAGCCTCGTGAGCTCTGTGAACTTATGCCAGCCAAGGAAAGGGGTAAGAAGAGACAAATATCGAGGGCCGCTCGCTGAAGGAGGAAAACCCTTCAGCCCCCAGTCAGGCCGAATTCCTTTTGCCCGTGCCTCCATTGCTGACACTGCAAGACATAATTCCCAAACTAATCACTGTCGTTGACCAAGGTTTGCCAATCGATCAAGAAGGGATTATATCATCCGATAAAGGTGACGACGCTAAAGGCATCCCTCAACAGTCCAAGTAGGGTAGTGTCCTAAAAGATCCCTTGCACACATCCAATCCAGGTGATGAGATTAAAAGCTACCTGTTTTGGTCCAATTTGAGTGATGACCCTAAAATCTCTCACCTTCCTTCTATCCCTTATCCTTCGAGCCCTTCTTCTTCTTCTAACCCCTCCCCTGCAAGTCTGACATTCGAATGCCCAGACTTTGAGGCCCTTGATCAAGACCTCAAAGGTTGCAACAATATCAAACGACATCGAAAACAACTCAAGAAAATGATGGCCTAAGCAGTTGGATTCTTGATAGTGTCCAGAGCCAATAAGAAGCTTCCGTCCATTAGCAAGGAGCTCATGGAGAGATACAAGGGTCTTAAGTTAAAGGAATCCCGATAGCCTCCCAGGCCTGAGCAGGAGTTGGGAAAATAAAAAAGCAAAGCAGTCATGAAACGTATCACATGGTTCAAATCTCAGGAAGAATGGTCCATGTTGATCAAATTAGCCTAAGGTCTGAGAAGAGTTTACCGCCACTCATGCAAAGGCCCCAGCGGCCAAAGCTCCTAAAGTATCCGGGTCCGCCACTCGCCTTGTACCCAACTAATCTATCACCACTCCTCAAATACTCGGGATAGCCATTGGTCCTGTACGTCAATCCACCTCCAAATCCTCACCTTCCATCAACCTCCACTCCGCTCATTACATAGCCTAGTCAGTCTGCGCTAGACTCGACTACGCCGCCTAGCCAGCCAGCACCACCTCCAGCTGCACAATCTCCATTTACCCAGCCCCTTCAACCTCGCCAACCCAACCTGGTTGCACAACATGGTCAACCGGCACCCCAAAACAACCATCCACCATCTAAACTTGTTCCACCACTGCCTATACCACCAAAACTAGTAGCGGGCCCAGGACCTGAAAAAGTGTGATGATGACAAAATAAAATATGATGTGGTTGGGCACCTAAGGAAACTCTAGGCCTTGCTCAGCCTTTATGATGCCCTGATGCTCTCAAGAGATTACCGCATGGCCCTATTTCAAGCCCTCTCTTCCCCCGAGGTGCATGAGATGGAAGTGGATTCCATCGAAGTTGATCCTGTTGGTTAGGTGCCTCGATCTCGCCCTCCGGATCTAGGTGATCTGGCAACACGTGTGTCGAATTTAAGGTAAACCTGGTACTT